TGTTAATACTATGTTATTTGCGTTATGGTTATGCATATGGACAGTTATTTATAACAAAGTGATGCTCATAAACAGCTATTCGAACAGGTTAGCTAGAATAACCCAAAACTAACCTGAATCTGATTGATTTCGGATCATTTGAGCTTAAAAACTCATAAGCAACTCATAAGCGATTAATAAGATCACTGATCAAATCATCAGTAATTACTAAGGATGGTAAAGTTAGTCTAGGTCTGGTCTTGGTCCGGACCAAGTCTTTATATAATAAGCTCTAGGATCTAGATCCAATTAAGTTTAGGTTAGGGTTTGGGTTAGAAAGGGGCAATAGTATAATAAAATAGTATAATAAAATCGCACGTAAAAAAATTTATTAGCGATTATGTCGTAACTAGTTACGACAATCATTAGAACGATCTACTGCATTACTAGTAAACTTACGTCAAAAATTTATCTACATACTGCTTCTAATTAGCAAATTTAAATACGAGAGCACGATCCTAGAATTAAATCTTTATTAAATTATACTAAAAATTCAATTATGTAAACAAAAGAATGCATAAATAAATTTGTGTTAATGTATATAAAATTACAATGATGTTATATGGCATTGGATATTGCAGCGGAGTAATTTTATTAATCATGGCTTACTTGCAAAAAATTTTATAACATAAAATAAATGAGTACGGAGATGACGATTATTAATATCCAAAACGAAACACACACGATACAGAGATATCTCCTGTGATCATTTTTCCCACCTTTTGGGATTCCTTCGCGATAATCCTCAAGATATATGTCATTATTATTTTGATAACCAAAATTTATGTTTTGGCTTGCATCGTCTTCTGAGGTAAAAAGTTCAGCTAACACTGTATTTTCTTCCTTGAAACTATTAGATTCATTAGAGCGATTAGTTCGGTCCATTGCATGTTAATACTATGTTATTTGCGTTATGGTTATGCATATGGACAGTTATTTATAACAAAGTGATGCTCATAAACAGCT